TTACATCGACATCTACTGGGCAAGCTGTTTCCTTTACCCAACTACAAAAACCTTCAAAATCCTGCTGTGCTTTCTCCAATCTTGATCTATATCCTCTATTTATTGATCGAGAAGCTAAATCATCTGCTTGATTTAAAAACTCACAGACCAATCTATGTCTGCTGCCAACAATCTCCAGGCCGAATTTTTGCATGGCTCTCTCTGTCCCAAAGGTCCTGGAACAATAATCTCTGATGCTGGTGATAGCTCTACTACCTCCTTTGGGGCCCTGAGAAACATTGGCCACCAAGGAGCCAAAGTCCATGCTGGGAGAATTAATATTACTCTGGCCTTGCATTCTTGGCTGTGTGTTATATCCAATATATTAAACCAAATAGAGGGCATGCATAGTTTATCTTCACTTTCCAATCCTGTATAAAACAGTCGACTGCTTCTGAGTTGGGGCAAAAGTAATAACTGTTGAAGCGCTTCTTCTTTGTATTCAAGTGATTTGCAAAGCGATCGATTGTTGTTTGACCCTATTTGTTCTCTAAACTCCAGAACACTTGATCTTCCAATTACCAAACTCCTGAATTCCACATCTTTGTAAGGTAGTCTGCTGGATTCTCTTTGCTCGGCACCCATCTGACCTTGTAAATTCATATATCGTTCTTTGTACAGAACTTCCACAGAAAATATGTCAAACTTTTCTGCCATGGGTAACTTCCTCCATGTGTTACTTTCTTACTGCAACCTTGTTGTCTATAAATAACATTACCCATGAATGCTTCAGCTGATTTGCAAATGACTCCATCATTCTTAGAACTGCCAAACTCTCTAATTGGGCAATTTCTGTTGCCTTTAATGGTACCAGCCAGTTTCCTGCTACCTTGTAGCCCCAGTAAACTCTACACCAGCCTATTGTCAAAGCATCTACATATACTGGCTTTATTTGTGCCGGCTTCCATGCTGGTTTGCCATTCCAATTCGTCATATTTTCCCTCAACCACTTTACATCTTCCACTACTCTTTCTGACAATACCACTTCTTTGTCCAATTCCCAAGTTGCTTGGTTGGCTGCATCTATTATTGAATAAAATTCTAGGCACTTTACTTGTGCTGGTAAAAATGCTCGAGAAAAACTTTGGATCCTTCCCACTAATGCTGCCAACTTCCTTACTAATATCGACTAGAGCTTTTTTATCAAATCTAACTTTTCTTGCATCTTTGAATCTTCTCTTCTAGGACTTCCACTATACCTTTCTTTGTGTCCACTACTATCCTGTAAAACACTATTCTTTGTGATGGTTCCCATTGACCTTTGTCTAGTGCTCTGATAAACCCACAACCCTCCAGATCGACCTGTATCACAGTCTCTCTTATTTGCAACAATTCTTCTCTGGATGGGCTCCCAATCCAAATATCGTCGATATGATTTTCACAATATATGCCTCGTGATCTCCAAGAACCTATTAATGCTATCATTATCTTTGAAAATATTCATGGTGCCTGGGATAGGCCAAATGGTAGTACTGTATAATAGAACCATTCTTTCTCTGCCCGAAACCCCAAGAACCATTAAGCCCAATCATCTATCAATACATGATGGTATCCTTCTCTTAGATCGAACACTATCAACTACCAACTCCTTCCAATTGTTCTCAGCAAACCCCCAAGCCCTTCGAACCAGAATGTTTTCTTCTACAATACCTAATTCAACCTTCTCAGATCTATTACCAAGTGAAATCTCTTGGGCCCCGATTTTGGTACTAGAAATACTGGACTTACTTCCAACAAAAAGTCTAGCCTTTTCCTGCCTACATACACTAACCTTATTGCTCCCGAATTTCTCAGCCTCCTTAACTCCTTCTTCACCTACTCCAATTCGTCCCTCGTAAGTCCAAATTGCTTTTGAGTTCTCTTCTGTACTAATGACTTTACTCCTCTTGGAAAAATAGGTACCTTCTTCTCTAGCCACATCGAAAAATGCCGCAGGCTTTATCACCTCCTTCCAATACTCTACTAATGACTTCTGATGAACTCTTCCCACTATGCTTAACTCCTTTCCATCTATCTCCCAAGCGTAGTCAACTTTTTTCACCCCCTGACTCTGTTTTCCGAAAGGGCTGGCTCGATTTTTTCTGTGGACAGTCCCATGCTATGTGACCTTTTTCTTCACAGATAAAACACACAATTCCCAGATTTCTGCTTTGCCTGGAAAATCCATTTCCCAAATAAGACCTTGGGCTCCCCTGAAAAGAGTTCGAATGACTCAATAAGTTCCTTGGTTCTCGAATGGGTACTGATATGGGTTTGCTGAGAACAATTGGAAGGAGTTGGTAGTTGATAGTGTTCGATCTAAGAGAAGGATACCATCATGTATTGATAGATGATTGGGCTTAATGGTTGCTGAAATGATTGCTGAAACGTTTGCTGAAATGGTTGCTAAAACGGTTGCTGAATTGGTTGCTGGAATGTTTGCCAATGTGTTGCTTGATTTGGAATTACATTCCCGAACCCTAATGGTACACTCACAAGGGTTGATCCTGATGACTCAATTTTGTTCTCCACCTTTGGTCGTTTATTCTTCGCTAATTGTC